GTATAATCAAAGTTACGTTTGTCAAAACAAATGCATGAGTTTACAAAATTGTGTTATGTTATTGTACACACGGCTACACATCGACCTTTACATAACCAGTATAAACTGAACGTTAAATGTGCGGAAAGATGATGCGACGCGACACCAGAATAAACTGGTTTTGTATAGATTGATGTGTGGCCGTGTGTATAGTCTCCAATAGATTAACCTACTCTATCACATTGGATTTTCGACTTTATGTCGTATAAGATATAGTTGAAAATGTAATACAGTGATGATAGAATACGATAGGTTGACCTGCCGGCTACCGTACTTGAGGTTGATGAGATTCTCATATATCCTTGGTTTGTGGAACACAGTGGTTGTAAATACTACTAAGTTTTAAGTGTCAGGTTACACGTCTGTGTTACATAAAATATAACGTAACATCACGCCTTTTATCCCCGAAGGGGTAGGCAGAGGTGCACATTATGCCACTGTTCAATGTAACACCCACTTTTCACTATTTATGTTACGAGTCCCATGTAATAGGCCCTATTGCCATATACCGGGCACAATTTCAGACTTCGTGCTACTACAGAGATTTTTTTTTAAACCAGTAATACTTTGCGTGTCCCGACAATCGAACCCGAGACCCATTGGGGGGGGGGGGCATTAGGGTTCTTTTTCGGAATTACCTACGAGTAATAATTCAATAAGGACTTTTACATTAGGCGCAGTTTAAACTTCTGCTATTTATAAAGACTGTCCCTAAAGTCGAAATAAAGACCAAATGGCACCAGGTGATCGAAAAGGTTCCAACAGTTATCAGAAAGATATAAAAAAACGTATTTAAGTTAGAATTTGATGCAACCCTATCACAATTAACTAGGACTTACGACCGTCAATGTTAATTATACCAATATAGGTTTATGAGCATTGCTGTACACGACAAAAATGCAAAATTCAACATAAAGATGCAAAAAGTGCTTTAAGTGCCGTGTCTTAAGTCATAAATTCATTTACACCGTCCTTGCCATTGCAATGTTTAATGTTTCTACACTAAGTAGGTACTATTGTATTTTTCTTACCTCTTTGGTCACGATTTTACGAACGTACCTACAAGTTCACACAGCAACACGTCAAGCTATGTCAAACCAGTATAAACTGACCGTTCAATATGCTAAAAGATCATATAAAAGCGAGATTATAATATACTGGTTTGTATAGCTTGTTGTGTTGCCGTGTGTCCAAGTAAACAAATACTCAAATAAGTCCATGAGAGAAAAACCCTGTCAAGCTATTGGACATAATATTTTTTACAACTACACTGTGATTGGGTACTTGTCAATATTAGTCCGACACTGGCAGTATAGTCGACAACACCGTTTTGGAGACTCAGTTGCCAAAGAAGAAAAAAAAATATTAGTCAAATTAAATTCTTTTTTCGAACTGTCAAAAACGATGGTATTCTATGAATTTTGTATGAGATTATGTATTGTGATGTCACGTGTTTTTGGCGTCAAACAGCATACTTATTACTTAAAAAAATGTTAAATTGGCAGATATGCATTGATTATCGACATAAGTTAACCCTCGTCCATCTACAGACTTCGGATTGAGATGTAGGTCATCCATTTCAGTCGTAAGAGTGTTTACCGAATATTAGATCGATCTGTGGTCAGTAAAGGAGGCAAATAAATTACTAAAGACCAAAACGAACGGGGCTAGCTAAATAAAACCGTTAAAAGAAACAGTGGAACCTCATTGCTGACTGCCTCGTTGGCCGAGTGGTCGCAAGTGCTACTGCCGGACAAGGGGTCTCATATTCGATTCCCGGGTCGGGCAAAGTATTACTGGGTTTTTCAAAAATCTCAGTAGTAGCACGGAGTCTGGAATTGTGCCCGGTATATGGCAAGGCAATAAATAGGTAGGCTCACCCCCTATTACATGGGAATAATAACATAAATAGTGAAAAGTGGGTGTTACATTTTACAAATACACACCTCTGCCTACCCCTTCGGGGATAAAAGGCGTAATGTTATGTAGTACCTTGTTGCTGAATTGATGATGCCTAGCGTGTCTCCTGTCCTGTCGCATCCATTTAAGCCTCGGAGGGGAGTCCGGCAGGGCTGTATCCTGTCTCCCATTCTCTTTAATATATATGGGGAATACATAATGAGACGAGCTCTGGAGGGGTGGGAGCGTGGGCTGTCTGTTGGTGGCAGGAGAATCAGCAATCTAAGGTATGCGGACGATACTACCTTGTTTGCATCGTCCGAGAGCGAGATGGCTGAGTTGATTGCAAGAGTAGAGAAGGAGAGCGAACTGGTTGGTCTCACCATAAATAAAAACAAGACCAAGGTGCTCGTTGTGGACAGAATGGGGACATGCACTCGCTCACATGAACTCAGAGACTTGGAGTTTGTGGATCGGTTTATTTATCTGGGCTCTGGATCAGAAGGAGAATCCAGATGTCCAAATCAGCAATGACGAAACTCACCAAGATATGGAAGGACCGAAATATATGTCGCAAGACCAAAGTGAGGCTGATGCGTGCGTTGGTTTTCTCCATTTTCTTGTATGGCGCCGAATCCTGGACCCTAATGAAAACTGAGAGAGCAAAAATTGACGCCTTCGAAATGTGGTGCTGGAGACGTATGCTCCGTATTCCCTGGACCGCTCGTCGCACCAACGTCTCCATTCTCAAGGAGATCGGAATTACTACGAGGCTGTCCACTGTATGCCTGCAGCGAATATTAACTTGTTTTGGCCACATTGCGCGTAGAGACCCCAACAATCTGGAGAAGCTTGTGGTTGTTGGTCGGGTTAACGGGAAAAGACCTCGCGGTCGTTCACCTACCCGGTGGTTGGATGCTGTAAAAAACCTAACCGGCCTGACAGTTCCACAAGCCATAAAGACCGCAGAGGACAGGGGCGTTTGGAGGAGGGTTGTGCATCAAGTGACGCGTGCACCAGACTAGACACGACCTTCAGTAATGAAGAAGACGACTAGGAAGGAAGCGTGTCTCCAGTCTTGATTAATTGTTTTTCTTATCTATTGTTTGTTGCTTTTAAGTGTTTTTTCTCCTAGTCTTTTGTTATATTATCTGAATGACAATAACTTAGTACCTATGCTATGTCTTACCTAGACTTTGATTAATGTCGCGGAGAACCTAACGGGTTACCGGGGCTCCGGCTCGACGTGCAGGAGAAGGAACGGGGTGGTTTTTAGCCAGTAAGAGTCTGACAGTCCCTCCCGGCTCACCCAGGCGGGAGCAGTCATTCGATGTTTTCCCCCCTTCAAAAAAGATTTCGATTAATAACTAAGTACCTACCTAATAAGGCACGGTGGTTAGAAATCAAAAACTATGTATAATTAATGTGTTTTTCTTATCTAATACCTATAAAACAGGTAATGGTTAATAAACATTTTTATGCGATAAATAACATTTATGTTTTTATTGGTGTTTTATTGACCAATCAAATGTTACATAATTCTTTGAAAATTACCAAGAGTTAGCACTTATTAGTAGAATTGTATTTTAAAGAACTTGATGTTTGTAACCTACTTCAAAGTCAAAGTCAAAGCATTTATTTCAATTAAACCGTAATTTGGTACTTTTGAAACGTCAACAAATACAAAATAAATAATAGTCTATCAGTCAGTCCGTCAGTGAAGCTAGGTGAAGCTAGGTACTTATATTTATAAATCACGCTTTGCTGATGCTAAGCGTATAATTTCCTTATTATCTGGAGAAATTGACATATTATGTAGCTGATAAAAATGGAAAAGTAAGGCGGTTTTGTCGATGTCTCTTCATACCTTTACAATTGGGTAGTTTCTAGGGTATCAATATTAAAAATCTAATTAGTCCGTCAGTTAGATAATGAAAAAATATTAGACAAGTATTTTTTTATTTTCTCGTATTAAGTTGCAATACTTAGATAAAATGGCGCTGAGTTTAGGAGCGGGATGTCGTTACGTCATAATGTGCTACAAAATGTGGCACGCTGTGACGTCACGTGTCGTCACACGATATTTCAAATTAATATATCGTCGAAAGTATTTAATTTTGTGACAAAAGAAAAATACGTGTCTAAATTTTAAATTAATGTACCAGACCGACATTAAAATAAAATTATGGAACCCTATTTTATACCCTATTTTCATTTAGCAACAATGAAAATAGGATAAAATAGGGTATCTATTTGTGATTTATTTTGCTGGTCGCCTATGCGTCGTGGACAATGGGGATGATGACGGGGTATGAAAATTAAAAATATAATTAGTCCATAAGTTAGGTATTTAAAAAATATTACACACGTATTTTTTTATTTTGTCTTATAATAAAACAATACTTAGATAAAACAAATCAAAGTTTAGGAGTGGGGGCTAAAACGTCATATCTTAGTATAAAATGAACTGAGAAGTGACGTCACGCGACATTTCAAATCAATATATCTTCGAAACTATTCGTTTCTGTAAGAAAATAAAAAACACGTGTCTAATGTTTTTAAACAATCTACCAGACGGACATTAAAATAAAAATTAGTCTTCTACCCTATTGGTTTTATACGTTTGTTTTATTATGGTTTTGTTTACGAGTTCCTTTTTCAAACAATAGATTTAGAGACGATTAAAAAAATTTAGTACCTCTTTTGTTTAAATCGGTTGAAATTAATTACAATAATTATATTTATTTTAACGCCAACCAGTATAAAAGGAGTTTTAATTTGATAAATGCATGTTTTTACTTTGAGAAAAAAACGAATGGGTTTCCTCAAAACTCCGATTAGTTAGTTCTTAAAATATATGATCGATCTCTCAAAAAAAAAGAATAAAAGCATAATGTGAATTGCAATATTAATTTAGGCATTATAATACCTTTTGAAAAAGTGGCTTCGGCCACAGTTGACGGTCATAAGGATAAATGTGGTGGAGTATTATATTAGAAACTGCTTTTTGAGGAAAAAAGTTGGTTATAAATAGGAGTTTTGTTTTTTCCAGATAACTCAAGATGTTCAAGACTTTATTGTTCGTGGCTGCGGCCGCAGTGTTGGCGTCAGCCCATGATGATGCACCAGTAAGTATTTAACTTATAAATATTGCAATTTAAGGCTTTTCATAAATAAAGTATACTCAGATAGGTATTGAGGACATACAATACTGTACTTACATAAACTTAAATCATTGTTCCACAGGGTAAAAAGAAACTACGAACGCGCTTTATTTTTTACTGAGTTTGCTTGTACGGCAATTGTACGTTCTATAATTCCTTTAAATCTTTAAGACATTTGCCCATATTAATGGTCCTCATTCTCAATTTTCCAGGAAATAAAGCAAGCTATCGCCAAGTTTGATGGCAACGGTGTGGCTGGCTTGGTGAAGTTCGTCCGTTTAGATGATGGCAGGATCCACGTGACTGGCAAGGTGACGGGCATGCCTACTGGCATGTACGGTTTCCACGTCCATGAGACCGGAGACTTGTCCAACGGCTGCCTTTCCACTGGTGGACATTTCAACCCCAACGGAGTAAGTTTTGTATACATTTGCTTATTAAATTCTTCAGTCAGCTAAGCAAACGATTTGAAACTATACGACCACTAACTTTGAATTTTCTCTCTTCAGCATGACCACGGACATCCACATGACGAGATCCGCCACGTCGGAGACCTCGGAAACGTTGAGTTTGACAACACGAAGACCGCCAACATCGACTTCATAGACCCTCAGATCAAGCTGAACGGTCGCCACAACATCATCGGCAGGGCTCTGGTCCTCCACGCGGGTACTGATGACTACGGCAGGACTGATCATCCTGACTCCAAGAAGACTGGCAACGCTGGTGGACGTGTCGTCTGCGGAATTATCGGAATTTTGTAGGAAACTATTTTTATAAGTTATTTGTCTGACGATGTTTCTTGGGAAATGTGGCTGTTTTTGATCTGAATGTACTTGAATTTGCAACCGAAATGGATTATTATTGACATTTGTATTCATTACATTACCGATATCAATTCCGGTGTCTAATCTGCGATATCTTCAAACTGAAGAACTCTAAATAAAACGGCATTCATTTTATGGACTATTATCATTTCAGACGGCATTTTTCACTTCTAACGTCTTTTCCTCGAGCGACATCTGTTGGACTATTCCTATTACGTGGACCATTTTACCATTCCATGCTACTAACAGAGATTTGAGACTTCATTTCTTATATTCTGGGCAATCAGTCTTCACGCTAGTACCATCCAGCTCTATAACTAAACACTAACGCCCAAATTCTCTATTTTGAACGTAATTTTTACCCTCCCTCTCCTATTCATGGGCAAAAGAGAGAAGTATACGGATAAGACTTGAAAGTATAGGTCTAGGTAAGAATCTCAGTAGAAATTGTTATTATTTAGGACATAAGTACAATAATGAAAACATTATTTTTCGTTTCCTATTTTTTTACTTTACTCTCTAATTATATTTCTTGCAAGGCCAAGTTTCCTTCTGTACAGCGAATTTGAATAAAATTTCTTTATAAATATTTGTTTTTATTTTTAGGGTTTTATTTGTGTAAATGTATTATTGAGATGGCAAAAACAGGCACAAGAACAAGTTGCCAATGAATTATGAACATGTAATTACTTAGAACCAGTCCAAAAAGGGGCTTTCCATTAGTTATAATTCTGTAGGTACCTACCTACCTGAACTTATTTGTTGTGTATCGTGACTAACAAAAACCGTAATTAATCAGCTTATGCATTCATATTACAAACATGAATACTTATTTATTTATTTAAGTAATTCTGTATTGGACAAAATACAGAAACAGGGTCTGGTATCGCATATTATTCTTTTATAGTTAGTTTTGTTACTGGACTCTTTTTAAATTATTAGAAAATATTTTTTTGAGTCTAAAAGAGTTAGCCACCAATTAGATCAATTGGAGATATTAGCCATTATTCTAAGAGACGAAAAAGATGACAATCTATAAATATCAATAATAAAGATTATCTTCTTTTGTTAGTATCGCAAAATTAATACAGTTTTGTAGTTAAATCCTTCGACCAATAATAGGTACTCGAAGATAGAATTGGCTTAAAAAATATATTTATTATTCGTACACAAATTACAGAGTTCAATATACCTACGTACATACATGATGTAGTGTAAATAGTGCAGATCAATCTACTACAATTTGCTAATTCATTGGATTTTCGACTTTACGTCAATGCAATACAGTTGGAGATATAACAGAGAAATTTGACAGAAAAGGATAGGTTGACGTGCTGGCAATTGTATGTACATGCATTATATTTACTTAAGTGACAATCGGACCATGATCAGATGATTTACATTTTTTTCTGAGAATCAAAGTTTTTGATTATAATGCCTAAACAGATAATTTTATTACGTTTACTCACATCAGACGCCTCATTGGCCGAGTGCAAGGTCGCAAGTGCGACTGCCGGTCAAGAGGCCTCGGGTTCGATTCCCGGGTCGAGCAACGTACTATTGGGTTTTTAAAAAAAATCTCAGTTGTAGCACGGAGTCCTGAATTGTGCTCGGTATGAGCCTACGATGGATGTAATAGGGGATGAACCCTACTACATGGGATTCATAATAATATAGATAGTGAAAAATGGGTGTTACATAGTACCTACAGTGACATTAAGTGTCGTAATGTGCTCCTTCGCCTATCCCTTTGAGGACAAAAGGCGTGATTTTATATTTCACATCATAATAATTGTAGAAAGAGACAGACTTGAATAGGTCTACTGAACGTGTCTGTGGACTGAGTACGGTCGTATGATTTAATTCACACAAGTCCCGGCTGATTGGATCATTGTACTCGAGTTACTATTCAGGATGATGCAATTTAGCTACCATTTATTGCATCTGCGAATGTCTGCTATAAGTCTGTACTGCGGTTAACATTTTATTATACCTACCAACTCAAAACTAGAGGTTTTTTTTAAGGGGGAAAATCATCGAATGACTGCTCCCGCCTGGGTGAGGCGGAAGGGAGTGTCAGACTCTTACTGACTAAAAACCACCCCGTTCCTTCTCCTGCACGTCGAGCCGGAGCCCCGGTTACCTGTTACGTTCTCCGTAACCTGCTGTTTGATGTCGCTATCATTTACGGAGCGACCTCAGAAAAGATGGCGCAATTAAACAATTGGGTATATGGTCCGCAACCCACCTATGATACCTCTGGTGTTGCAGGTGTATTTAGACAACAGTGACCGCTTACCGAGCTAACTATATATTATATTATTTACTTTATCTGGATATTTTAAAAAATCTGAATAAATAACAAGTTTACAATTGCCAACGCATCTTGACCTTGCTAACCTTCTCCGTATGAGAAGAGGCACTTGGTCAGCAGTGGGTACTTATGATGTTGCTGATGATAACGACAGTTTCTTCTAGCCAGGCCTAACGCTTTGTTACCAATAGTAGTATAAAAATGTGTGAAGTTATTTTTTTAATTGTTTTTATATGATTTTCAGGACTGAGGAACCCCAGAAGGCTAATTCAGCTGCAATTTCCACCAGCAGTTTATTAACAGCTATATCTGTTTATTCTTTCATTGCATTTGTATTACACTGAACTAGGATTTGTTATTTTTATTATTATACATTAAAATTACATGGGCAGACTACAGCTAGGCTATTATGTAACTTTCAATTCCAAAGATGGAATTGAACTCAATCGCGATCTGCCATGTCATTGGCTGTGAGAATAATCCCGACCAATGGCGGGCGAGAATGCGATCAAGTTCACTTCGAAAGGGAAATTTGAATTGACAGTCACATAATAGCCTAACTGGAAGAATTCTTAGCAGTCAGCCTGTATAATATGATTAGGTACTTATATTTTTATACTGTTTTCATAGTAACTAGGAAATATCGTGTATTGTAATATATTAATTTAATGTTTAATATGTGTATTTGGAATAATACATATTTATACATAAATATTTTTATGTATTATAGAATTAGCGACCCGTCCGGGTTTCACGTAGGTTATATTTTCCAATTTTCCAATGGTTTTTTATGTTTTGTTTCTTATATGATGACAATCACAAAAAAAAGATTATTTGCGAGTTTGGCGCTTACTATTAATTAAGCTTGGCGCTTACTTACTATTATATTTAGCATTTTTTGTATATTCAATGATATATATATATATATAAATATTGGAGTATCTACCTGCGTAAGCCTAAAAACTAGGTATTTTATTTAAGTTTAACTTGTAATTTTTATGCAAATCATTTATTTATTTTTCATGTACGTACATATTATATAAAAATGAAGTACATTATTAATTATGTTTTAGTAAACTATGTAATTCTATTTATTGTAAGTAGGTACAGTATTATAATATGTTAAAGATGTACTTAACTTTCGCCGTTTAAATATTAACTGATATATGACGATAATCCAAGTACGTATTAAGTACTTTTATCGCTTATTCTACTAGAAATTACTTAGTTTAATACTTTTTATTAACTTTTCAACGTCAGAGCAAAAACACACGAACCTGCCCTAAACGCCAAACCACAAATTCCACGCAATATTCTACGAAAGAAATTGTGACTCCAATAGGGAATCAAATTGTTGATTTCTTGTTTCCGCTTCCGCTTTTTCTGACAATTTTTTTATGGCATTGCCGGTAAACGAGCAGACGGTAATCAGTCTGCTCTTTCACAGAAAACCGACGTGGAACAACGCTTGTGTTTCGTCGTGTGAGTGAGGTTACCGGAGGTCCAATTACCCCCTAGTCCCTGTCTCCCGAATCCCCGAATCCTCCACCATCTTCAAATTCCCAATACCCAAAAGGCCGGTAACGCACTTGTAACGCCTTGGTGTTTCGACTGTCCATGGGCGGCGCCGATTGCTTACCATCAGGTGATCCGTCTGCTTGTTTACCGGCTTATGCTTTAAAAAAAACAAAATAATGTCAGACATGAATTATGAAAAATCAGCGATATGTATATTAATATACTTGATTAAAAATGTACCTATTTGTACGTATCTACCCTATCATTGTTATTACACCTACTGTTATATCATTTGTTGGTTATTTATTAATATTAACATAACATCACGCCTTTTACTCCCGAAGGGGTAAGCAGAGGTGCACATTACGACACTTAATGCCACATTGTAACACTCACTTTTCACTATTTATGTTATGAGTCTCATGTAATGTGAGTCTATTGCCATATACCGACCACAATTTCAGACTCCGTGCTACTACTGAGAATTTTATTAATATTTTGTTTATTATTCACCACCTACATTGTTTGTAAGTGCAATTATTATGAAAATCTGTATGATTGATATGTTTTAATAAACTTGTTTATAAGATTATTTTGTTTTATTGTTCATCTTAATTAGCAAGACATTGTTAATATTAACTTTTTAGATAACAAGATTTCAACGTTGGTTAATTGGGTGAATGGAGATCAATTTATTTTTCTGAACTGACTAACTACTCTGAAAAAAGAAACGTCGAAACAAACTCAGATGTATTAATATAAAAATTCAGATACCTATAAAATGATGTGGCGGAACCATACAAGTTGGTATGCGCAGTGGTATTTAGAGGAACGAATCACTCCAGACCACCATAGATGGGGCCCATTAAGGCTGATGCCGATACGGAGCCGCGGAGAACGTAAAAAGTTACTGGGGCTCCGGGTCGAAGTGCAGGAGTAGGAACGGGGTGGTTTATTGTCGGTAAGAGTCTGAGACGCCCTTCTATCTCACCCGGGCGGGACAAGTCATTCGATGATTTTCCCCCTTAAAAAAAAGTGTGACAAAGTAGTTATAAAACAAAGAAATACATAATTTCTTACAATACTTAGTTGACTGCGACACCGGAGATCGATAAAAGCCAGACGATGGCAACGTAAGTGAAGTAGGTATTCATATTTCCCACACCCTATACACCACAGCTGCATGTTCCCACACCCTGTATAGTAAGACAATATGGCGGACTCATAACTACTCGAGATTATGCAAAAAGTTTTTTTTTCTTTTTTCTTAAGAAATTAATTTTTGTTCCGTTTATGATTTTGAAAATTAAATGCCATGATTTCAAAGAGAGGTCTATAACGAGTGGTGAATAGAAAAAGCCTGATGTTGATGGGTATTCTTATGTAACTGACGTATATGTAGGTATGTCCAGTATGCAGCATCAAGTATAAGGTCTCGGCATACCTACTGATGATGAAGATCGTTGTGAGATTTGACTACTGAGCTCATATGCAGCCCTTTTTTTTAAGGGGGGAAAATCATCGTATGGCTGCTCAAGCCTGGGTGAGGCGGGAGGGAGTGTCAGACTCTTACTGACTAAAAACCACCTCGTTCCTTCTCCTGCACGTCGAGCCGGAGCCCCGGTTACCCGTTAGGTTCTCCGCGAAGAGCCTCCCAGCAACCAATACATAGACAGTAATTCTCGGGGTTTCTTTGTAAAAATGTTTAAATTCGCTAAAAACCAAGATCATCGACATTTAATCCATTCTCGTTTTATTCCAGCTTAGTTATAGCAGGAAAATAGTGATTTATTAGCGGACATCTCTTAGTTAATTATTATGATATTGACGTTAATTACAGGTACCGTTCGTCATCGAAAAGCTCCGTGAAGCTCAGAACTCGTGCTTGCTAGGTTATTCCATAAGATGTCAATTCGAATTCTCGATGTGAGTTCGCGATCCGCCATGTCATAAGATTAATCTCGGCCAATGACGTGCGAGAGTCACTTCGAGAGTTCGAATTGACATCTTACAGAATAATCAAGCTGAACAGCAGCTGTAGCCAAATGCCACTTTAGTGCTTGCCTACATGTAGAATAGAAAACCAAATTATATCAGTGTCACACTGACAAGTATCAAAATTTACGTCTATCCCCATACATTTAGTTTTCTACTGTCGCTGTAGACAAGCGCTAAAGTGGCGTTTGGCTAAAGGCACTGAACAGAACCTGAGCTATGAGCCAAACTGCAAATCACTGATATCATGCGCAGCAGAGAATGAGCTCGCTCTTAAACAGTCAATTCCTAACTTAATTCATGGCAACGCACCAAAAATCTCGCCTCATCTATATTTTATTATTCAACAACTTTCTCAAATTGGATGTTCGCTTTGAGATTGATTTATAGTATTTTCTCTACGCATTTTTCGTACCCAGAAGAGTTAATTCATAAAAACAAACCTAAAAATAACAAATATAAAAAATACCACAGACATATGGCTTATGCCTATTACCTATTTAGATACAAGTCGTCCTAGTTCGCAAGTTGTGACAAAGGACTATCGACCGGCCGTAGTTAATAATTGATGGAATATTGCATTAGAGCGAGGGTGGGCTACGTGCACAGTAGCTTGTACTGACACATCTAGTTGTTGTATATCTTTGTACAATACATTATAAAGAGACGTTATGGTCTTAGTTTATTGTATTTCAATTTTATTGCTATTTTATTTATTGTAATGCTACTCATACCTCAGCACCAGTAAGAGGGGTATCGGTTTCTCTGAAGAGACCTGCTCCGGAGCCCCCACAGTATAACGCCTGTTACAGCACATCCCTAGTGAGAAGTGCGTGTCCCTTAATTATCGCTTTGCATGATAGCACGTGACCAATGTCTCGGGGAAGACGGTAGCTACCACAGTCCCCACTCTATGCACCCGTGACCCCAAAGGTCCGCCTGCAGTTTGTAGAGGTACAACAATGTTGACATACTGGACTTCAAGTGGTCGTAGTCACGGAATTCATTTAAATCCACAAATCTAGCAGAGTGTCATTGCAAATTTCAAGTCATAAGATTTCTGCATCCCATAATATGACTTGTTAGGGTAAGATCGCCTGTTCGCGTCCATTTTACGGATCGCCATGAATATAAGATACTTAAAACGTGAAAAGGGCAATCAGATTTGAACCAATTGTATGGTGATAGTTCTCTTATCTTCGAAAAAATTTAAAGGGACGTAATTTTTAATTTCGAACAGGCGAACTTACCGTATGCGAGTTAACCAGTGTATGTTACTTTTTATAACGAGCCTGCTGCCTACACATTCATCAAATCTTTATTCGAAGACTTACTTAAATACCTACATATGTATATTACATTACATAACGCCTATTATCCTCAGAGTGCGTAGGTAGAGGTCTACTTTCTACCTCTACACCCACTACACCTCTCTGAAGGTAGCTCTGGTTGATTAAATTCTTAATAGACTAATTGAGAAAAAATATTAACTATTTGCAAAGTTATTGAATAAAGAGACTTTAATCATACATAGGACGCAATCTAGACTGCACGGATGGTGCTGTGGCTGGGCACCCACGCGGAACAACTCTTTGTGTAATTCACAAATTGTTATCTCGTTTCTGGGTGACACGTGTGTGAGAAATTGTATGTTAGTAAACGCACCCACGACACATGAGAAAATCCTAGTGTGGGTCAACATGTCGCGGAGAACCTAACGGGAAACCGGGGCTCCGGCTCAATGTGCAGGAGAAGGAACGGGGTGGTTTTTAGTCAGTAAGAGTCTGACACTCCCTCCCGTCTCACCCGGGCGGGAGCAGTGATTCGATGATTTTCCCTCCTTAAAAAAAGTGTTGGCCAACGTTCTAAAAAAAACTATTTTAAATTTAAACCTAGCTGTTATTTTCTTTTCTATTTAAAAAGTTTGATATCTATATTATAGACAGTAGAACCTTTCAGTGACCTAATAGTGACGATCCTCTAACCGTCTACCTCTAACATGTCCCACTAAAGAAAGGAAGAAAGAGAGAGAAAATATTTTAGAGTAGAGAGCGGAATTATTATATTACAACATGATTGCGTGGTACATGTCTCAAATATTTGTTAGAATGGGCACCAGTTCAGCATGCGCAAAACAGACCCTTTTATTTAAGGGGGGATGTCATCCTTAATGATTTCTCCCACCATGGGCGAGGCGAGAAAGAGTGTCAGACTCTTATTGACTAAAAACCATTCCGTTCCCACTCCAGCTTTGGGCCAGAGTCTCGGTAACCCGTCAGATTGTCCGCAGCTCCGGACAAAACATACCTTATATTCTACTAGCCCATTACAAGATTAAGACGAAAGTCTTAGATTAGCAGTGGAATTGTATTCTGATATTATCATACATTTTTTTACAAAATAATTATTATAGGCCACATAATTAATGCACTTACAGTGAATTAAAAGCAAATTAGAATAATGTCCAATCCAAGGTAGTTGCTTACTTCCATTAAAAGTTAATCGACGTCTTTGAGGGAGTGGGGTAAGGGTGGGAGTTATTAATAATTAACAGTCCTATTGATTATTACTCCGACCGGGCATCGAAGTGGTGTGGGTACGATACCACCTGAACGTAATTCAGGTGCACAGGTACCCGGCTACACCGTAATTGTATGCAATTACTTGATTAAATATGCAAGTACACTGTCTTGCAGAAATTGTGTTTTATTTATTTTTCATTTTGTAGTGCTGTGGGAAACTAAAGATGGTGGAAGTAGGGAAATGAAAGGTTTACGTGGATTTCGTTTTTATTTTTTCTATGTAGGTAGTGGTGATCGTTTGGTCAAAATCACCAATAAAAATAAATAGCTGAAGTTAGCAAAGGTGGTGTTTTATACCGTCGGTTCTGGTTGTCATAGGTACACATCGTTAAATATTGTTAGTATTTTAACAATTACATAATACATGCTTGGATAACATCCAAGTTTGTGGTATCTCCGTTGTGGAGGACCAGAAGCCGTGACAGAGTCTGTATTTCTTAGATAAATAATAAAATCCTATAAATGAAATAGCGGTTGGTTTTCTTAATGTTAGCAAGATGCTCTTCATATCAAAAGTTACCATTAATGGAACAGAAATGGTTCAGCAACAAAAATAAACAAAGAACAGCGAGCAATACTCAATTAATTTCACATTTTACTGAAAAGTCTTGTCAGTCTTTTCCTTGGTGGATACAAAGAAACCTGCATTCAACCTTTTTAAATATGCAAAGCGGTTTGTAAGTGGTCGAGCTGTCTGTAATTAGTTGAAGACAGCCGCCACCACCTTGTGATTTTGTATTATTGATCGACTAGAAAATAGACCAGCCAATCACAGATCACGTCCAACTACACCAAGTCATAAAGTGACCTATTTGAAAGTGCATTAAAGTATATTCACTGGGGCCGGTCGATATGTCATGTCAATTAATAACTACAGAGGAATACATCGCAAAACTAAAAATAAAACTCACACCACAAAGCAAAATGAACCCTATGTCGAAAAAGCAAAAGCTCAAAGCAATATCGCGTATCATAACAAAGAATCATTCAGCAAATGTAGAGCAAGAGTAGTTGTAATGGAATATGGTTATTGTTGCTACGGATTAAGAGTTATGTCGGATGTATGGATAAGTTGGTAAAGAAACAAAGGCTGGTGGTGAAGATGGACCCTGAAGTGTGGGTACGTGGACACATGGGTTCCCACATTCTAAATATTGCGTCAGAAGTATGAGCGGAGAGGATGGCGGAGCGGTAGGTGAAGCGATATTCAGACAAGATGCAAATTCTTAAAAACATGATATTCCACCATGATTTTGACTTTTATTTGAATCCTGAGAAAACAAAAAAGAATCTGAGAATTGTGGAAGTAGGCGAAGATCTGCAGATTCCATCTTTTCCTTTTAGTTTTTTCAAATTAAAGGGTAAGAGAAATATTGAGAGAATAAATAACTACATGAAGAAAACAAACTAAAACATTTCACAACGTATACCATAGAGGTACATTGAAGGAACTCACCAACGACTACTCATGGTGACGCATGTGACAGAATAGAAACTAACAAAGTTTGATGAACAATCATAACTGGTGGCGCTTTATAGTTTCTGCCTACCCATGACATACAGCAGTGAATCTATTTCAGGTAAAAGTCACAATCAAATATAAGTATGAAGCAGCCTTGTGTATGAATGTTTGATGAGAGGACAGCCCGCTCCGCTCGTCACTAAGTGCCTAGTAATCACCAACATAGGTCGACAAATGCATTGATCGATGTTATAGCCCTAGAGCCTTCATTTCCGATGTCCACCCCGACGCTACAGGACATACAGATTGAAATCGGCTTTAACAAAATGAAGTCAAGACGTGTCGTTGTATGAAGTTCTTTATAACTTTGTTCAATGTTATTTGCATTGTAAGTCGTGTCTTTATTCATTCTGCGATCTGTTCTCTTCTTTCTTCGTTGTTATTTTTCTTTTTAGTTTTCGCGCGTTTTGTTTTTTTTAATTTTCGAATGTGTAATAGATAGTTTCATTTTATGCCGTTTTCGTGTTTGGAATTATTGTCGTTGACATTTTTTTTAAATTCCATGTTTGAATTTTCTATTTTCAAATTGTTTTCTTTAAAAGTTCTCGTAAGTTACTTCGTTAATATTTATTTTATTTTTAGTAAAGTCTTCTAACTTTCATCAGCCGTAATATTTCTAAATAACATTTAATCTCCGTTTTTCTTTGGTTAGTTATTCGGTTTGATCCTGATGGCAATATGTGTGATCAACATGAGGGATAAGAAGTCTCAGCCGGAGCAGCAGTCAGCTCTGTCGCGAGGAGTGTTGTCCTTCCTCCTGACTCTTGGAATAGCGCTGGTGGTGACTGCTGTCCTGGGCTGCGTCGGTGCCTTGAGGGAACACGTACGGATTCTTTATGTGGTAAGTAACTGTTTATATATTTTTTCCATTGATTTCTAAGTGTTTCTACTTTTATTGACAGTTTAGTTTTTTTTTATCTGTGTCGTGTTATGAGTCGTTGGGTTTACGTAATTTGGTATAGGATTGATATTTTATTACACTTTTACAATAATTTAAAGTGCACTTGCGATTTTGTTTCGTATGTTTAAGTTTTCTATAACTCTTATATGAGTGTCTTCTTTTTTATATGTAACGGGTCGACGTGACCTATAATGCAAACCTTTACAGATATTATTACTATCGTTGTTTTGCGAAAATAAAAGTGTTTGACTCAAATAATGACTCAATTTAAAAGTATATTTGTTCTAAATTTTGAAATATGTACATGTTCTAAATTGCTATTTTTCTACATAAAATACTTTAACGTATTCTACTGCAATTAAAGTATGATAATATTTACTCATAAAAATGTGATATATTTACATATATCTAATTGTCATACAATTTCGGTCATTTTGATACAAGTAGGCAGATGTAATTTTAAGAACTCGAATGTCTCATCGGTCAAAGTAGGTTATAATATTAAAAAAAACATCTTCAATTTTTGTAAATGAAAAAAAGTAGGCGGTATATACTCTGTGCACCTCTGTCAGAAAGAAGAATACGCAAGTAGGTTTTTTTATGGCATAAACCGGTAAACGAGCAGACGGATCACCTGATGGTAAGCAATCGGCGTCGCCCATGGACACCTGGAACACCAGAGGCGTTACAAGTGCGATACCGGCCGGATTAAAAGTTTGAGTATCGTTGGGGATTCAGGAATTGGGGAGATTTTGGAGGGGAGGGTAATTGGGCCTCCGGTAACCTCACTCACACGATGAAACACAACGCAAGCGTTGCTTCACGTCGGTTTTCTGTGAGGCCGTGGTATCACTCCGGTCGAGCCGGCCCATTCGTGCCGAAGCATGGCTCTCCCACACATACAAGGTATTGCATATTGCGTAGTTAAGTACATTACAATAATAATTGTACATTTCTAAAAATATTATCATATCTAGTATTCCATTACTAAAAGACTACAATTTGCTATGTATGTAATTGTATACTGGGAACATGGAATATTTACGTAATGTATGGCGACCTTGGTCGGTCAACCAAATCAATATCTAAGTTTATATACACATAGATATAAACAAACATAAGTCAGTAGTACGTGTTATATTATAATCACTACATAGTATAAAACAAAGTCGCTGCCCGCCGTCTGTCTGTCCCTATGAATGCTTAGACCTTTAAAACCCACGCGTCGGATTTCGATGCGGTTTTTTAATAGATAGGGTGATTCTTAAGGAAGATTTATATGTATAATACATGTGTATTGCACCCGTGCGAAGTCGGGGCGGGTCGCTAGTATAATCTATATATATAAAAGAAAGTCGTGTTAGTTACACCACTTATAACTCAAGAACGGCAGAATAGATTTGGCTGAAAATTGGTAGGGAGGTAGCTTAGAGCCAGGAGACCGACATAGGATACCAATTTTTTTTTACATTTTACCGAAAAATGGGGACGGGAAAAAATGGGATGACACGTACGAAGTCGCGGGAAGAAGCTAGTATAATATATAAGTACAGTTGTCGTCGTGGAGGATTAAGGTGGAGGCTTTTGTCAAGAAGTGGACGTCTTCCGACTGTTGTTGTTGATGATGATGATGATAATGATGATGACGATAGGTAGTTATACGATTCAAAAGCAATTTTTATTAAAATATAAGAATACTCAGGCGATAATGTCAAAATATTTTTACATCAACAAACTAGCGTTTTATTGACAAATCAATTCTAGATTTACTTTCAATTTTAAGTTATATATGAATAACTGTATGAGTATGACTCATATACTTGTTGACTGCCTCATTGGCCGATTGGTCGTAAGTGCGACTATCGGGGCAAGGGGTCTCGGGTTTGATACCCGGGTCGGGCAAAGTGATACTGGGTTTTCAAAAATTCTCAGTAGTAGCACGAAATCTGGAATTGTGCCCGGTATATGGCAAAAGGCTCACCCCCTATTACATGGAACTCATAACATAAATAGTGAAAAGTGGGTGTTACATTGTACAGTAGCATAATGTGGACCTTTGCCTACCCCTTCGGAGATAAAAGGCGTGATGTTATGTTATGTTATGACTAATATACTGTACTGTTATAAAATATTATCTCACTACGGCAGCAAACACTATGTTACGAAGTAAAAGAAAGCGTATATACAAGCACGCTATCGCATTTATAATATATGTATAATGAATGGCGTGCATTTACTATTATAAATAGAATCGTTGTTTATGTAATTTTAATGTGACCTTATTGTGTTTTATACATAAACCAACTAAACGTATTAAGTTAACTTGAATCATCGCGTTCTATTTTATATAGAGGTATATTGGTACCTACTTATGTCGTAAGCTCGAGTAATTAGACCATAAGGAGACTCTCACGATATCTTTGTTTCAAAATACCTTAGCTAAGTTTACTTTGTTAAAAGTTCGTACTTAAATCTGGTGAAGTAAACGTAAAGTCAAAAGGTAAAGCAAGGTGTGTTGGGGTAAGATCGGCGCTGGGGTAAGAACGTAGGAATCAAATATACCACTTATTTGGCAATATTTTTTAATGTTAGCCACATTGCCCGCAACGTCATTATGTTTCACCCCGCCTCGCAGTGATCGCTAGTCGCTCCGGCTACTCGGATGTGTACCACGCGCCGTTAGAGAAAACAATGTAAGTTTTATAAAATATGTGTTTATCCGATCTTTCACCTGCATTTTAATTTACATATTTTAGCAAAAGTATAGCTTATTTTGGATTTGTTTTGCCTAAATTCTAAGTTTTAATCAGTGATAATATGATAAAACTCATCCAGATACGGCTACTACATCTGTAGGCTGAAATCCGGTGTTACCCATCACGAGTAAAGATCGGACAAAAATATCCGGTCTTATCCCGTTTCTAAATTGCCAGTGATTTTCAAACTTTTATTACACATCATTTTAAATATCTACTTAATGTATTCGTAATCGTTTTATTATGGCGCTTAAAATCCAGGGTCACACTGTTTGATTCTACAGCTATCCGTTTTCTTGATTACCTACATTGATTATAAATGAATAGATACTTATAACAACAATTCATTTGCAGATGCCACGTATATACTCTAGAACCTCTTCGCGGGAAAGACCTATACAAAAGAATCGCTGCAATTGGTCATGCAGAAAATAAATATTATGGAGCTCTCCTATGCAGCCGCTTCAAAAATGTACGGCATACCTATATCCACACTTAGTAACTGCTACTAAAAACCAAAAATGTGTATTTTGATAGAGATTATTGTTTTGATTTTTGTTTTCTAGATCGTTGTCATAGACGTTTCAGTTTAATAAAGATTTCAGTTTGATAATAGAAGATGTTTAACTCAATTAACCTGAAATGTCTACGAGAACTGTCAATTCTTTGATAAGTATAATTGTTTTGTTTATATTCCTTTTTTTCTATTGACGAATTTTAATTACATATAGTATTATAATTTTGTTCATTCCTTGTTAGTGATTTCTATATTTCATATTATTAGAATATAACGTTTTATGCTACTATTAATTCGTTTTAATATTTGAATATTCCGATTCCCTTCATTTCTCTACCAACCGCACAGTATTTCAGTTTTATAACGCTTAAATATTCGCTTACTTTTCCTTTTTGGTACTATGCTTGTGGGTAAAACCAAACTTTGAGAATCCTAATTTCTTTTAAATTTGGCATTCGGGGTAAGATCGGACAAATTACACACACAAAAATAATAATAGTTTGGTACATCTATGTCTGTAGTATTAGGTAAATTTTTTTGATGCCATGTTAAAGAACAGGAAAGATCGGATACATTATTTTCATACACCTTGTACTCCTAGCAATAGGACTAGTTTTAAATTGTTGTCCGAACTTACCCCTTAATAGCCAAATCGTCATTGCATTCACAAAAAATATGTTCAGATTTTACAGGCTTATAAAGCAAAAAGTATTGAGTGTTTATAAATAAATTAAATTTTAAATAACACTATGTTGAATCATTAGTGATTCCACTATTTTTCATCAATGTGCTGTGTACCAAATTTCAGAAAAAAAAGTTTTTGCAACATCCTTGCAAATATTCGAAAATCCGTCCGATATTACCCCAAGGCACCTCATTTATCGGAATATGAAATTAACAACGTTATGTTAAAAATTATTATGGGAAAAGAACATCCGCCTACTTTGTATCTGCCTAAAGTATTTAACCAGATAAACATATTAAGGGAAGATGGGAAAAAATATAATAAAGGATCTACAAAGTCAAAATTAAAAAGAATTATATTGGAGTTAATAAGTTAGGTTATTGATTTTGTTTGGAATTTTTTAATTTTGATATATAAGGAGTTTGTTACTATGTCAAAATTATTTTATTTAATATAATATGAGTAGTACAACTATTATAACAAATGCTGTCCCTGTTTAAGTAATAGTGAATGTGTTAAAAAAATATAATCATATTACAATTGTACATACCTACATATTATAATATGTATAATAGAAATTGTTTGTTCAATGTGCGTCTCTTACCATCAAACGTTAAGTTTGACGAAGTTAGATTTAAGGCCCTTTGTAAAATTCCTTTAAATAAATTTATAAGCCTAAGGATTTTACCACTGAAAATGATGCGTAAGATATTATCAGATTATTGCTGGGATAGTCTTTGAATGCTGACATGATCGGTTACGCAGCAGTCACAGCAGTTGCCACAAGCCACTACGCCAATCGTGCTGTCAAGAGTTAAATTCGAAAATTACCTGTTGTTTCCAGCACGCAGGTTTCTTCATATTCCTGGTAGCTGTGGAGCTGGTGGTGGGCGTGGGAGGGGCAGTGCTTAGTGCGTGGATGGGGGGAAGCAGTGAGCTGCGGGTGCAGTTCTATAGGAACACTACTGTGGAGGACGAAACTGCGAGGTACCACGCCTTCTGGGACGATCTGCAGTCTGATGTAAGTTGCACAACATTTATATCCGGCTCGAAGGACCAAAATGTGCGTGATAGGAGCGTTACACTAAAATCCTACTGTACAGGACTACCTACTCCTATTGACTACAAGCTAACGTTATCCTATACTATCCTAGTGTACTTAATGCATGTATCATGTGAAACATTACTACTTAACATATATAAAGCAATTAGTCTTCGTATTGTACTTTCTTTCCTAGAATCAATGCTGCGGTGTCGACGGCCCTCAAGACTATGCTATCATCCACCGAGACATACCAGCCTCCTGCTGCGCCCGCGCACATCCCCTACGCGAGGGTGGCGCCAGACGTCATTTGCACGCGAGCTGTCTCACCGACCGGACGTATTACATGCGCGGCTGCGAGGAAGTGCTTCGACAGAAAAAGGCTTTTAAAGGCAACATCTTTATCTCAACTGGCATCATATTCACTTTGGTAGAGGTAATTTGTATTTCTTATAGTTTTTCGAAATTAAAAAAAACTAAATAACCAATAAATACGCGTTCCCTTGCAGATTTTGTGCATCGTTTTGGCTTTGTGGATGGCTCGCACGATACGGTCTGAAAGGCGTAAGCTTCAGGCTAATTTACAGGCGCATTTTGAATCTTAATATGAAAGTAGTAGCACCCTGCAGTTGGAGGCGTTGGCTGTTCGAAGGTCGTAGTAGGTATACTATATTACTTGTATTAATTAAATGCAGTATTACAATATCTAAGTACATAATCAGTATTATATAGATGCAGTATTATTAAATCATATGTAATTTATTGATAAATTACCGTTTTTTATAATCACTATGGTTTTCTCATTCACCTCCATATTGTAGATATGCATTACCATTTTTATGTGATAAGTTCGTTTCAATTAATAAGTTTCATTAATTGCTTAAGGTTTTGTAATAATAATTTATAACAAGCCCCTTGCTGAAGACAGCTTTGTTTAATTAGGTAATTACAATTAAAAAGAATTGTATTTTTTATCAGTAAGTAGAACTTTACTTAGTAAGTTCGTAAGTTTAAAATATTGATACTACGTAGTTAAATCGTAAAATAAGAGCAACATAAAAAAATACATTCAATTGCATATATTATTAAATTGTATTTAGAATTACCTCATGAATCATTATTACACTGCCTTACATGCGTATGCCATATATTTACTATTTATATATATAATATCTAGTACATTAAGGTACAAAAGTAAGTAGTTAAGTTACGATTTATAATACATAATTATAAAAAAAATATTTCTATTTTCTGCGACACAAATGCTTCTCAATTTTTAAAGCACAGTTTTTAAACCATTGCACTTCCATATCTCCTATACGGCCTATACCGTTTTATCCTACATTCATTTAGTATTTAGTTTTTTTGGGTCAATTTAGCTATAATCTGTGATAATAATTAAGTCAGCTGTGGCTGTCAATAAGCCGGTGAGGGACCAATAATGATTAGTTTAATATATAAGAACAATGGTATATATAAAAAAAATACCAAACACTTGGGGACAAAAAAACAGAACCACTAGCATGTTTTCTCTTTTATTTCTTGTAAAATAATTTCTAATATAAGTATTTTATTAATAGGTAACGTATATCGTGTAAAAGACAATTTAGTTCCATTTTTTTATGCAATAAGCCGGCAAACGAGCAGACGGACCACCTGATAGTAAGCAATCGGCGTCGCCCATGGACATCTGAAACACTAAAGGCTTTACAAGTACGTTACCGGCCTCTTGGGATTAGAAATTTGAGGATTTTTGGGGATTCAGGGATTGGGAAACGGGGTGGACTAATTGGGCCTCCGGTAACATTTACAATGACAGCATTTTGTGGTAGAAGGAATAGATATTTTTTTAAGTTATTAATTTGGGTTTGATAATTTGACAAAATACGCTAGTACGGCTCCGTATTTTTGCTCCTAAATGTAAGTAGATTTTTGTTCCCGCCTCATTATATGTTAAGTTTTGAAGTTTATTCACGCGAAGATTTAAATTTAAACACGGTAGATTGTAATTGTAAATAATGTGCCTTAATAAGTAACTAATACAGAATATAAATTAACGGAATATTTGGTATTGGATTAAAAAAGTATTTTGACTCAGTTTAAGATTTAGGGAAATTAAATTCTTATAAATATCATGAGACATACTAAATTAACTAAAAATTGCGGGTCACTCACATGAAACTGAGAAAAGCTCTACTAATTTCGAGCCACAGTGGGGCTCTTCTTCATGAGCATCGCCGCGACTGCGTAGACTAGTGGGGCTTTTCTCAGTATTTTCACGTGAGCAACTCGCGATTTTGAATTAAAATATAATTTGTTGGTATTTTGGGAGAATACAACGGAGTTTATTGTTCGTCGTTAATTCATGTACTGTATATCTATGTACGGTCAAAGGTCAAAAGTCCACTGCCACCACAGACTACTATTGGTTGCGCTGCAGCGCTTATACATGCACACGCATATTTTTAATCGTGTGCGTACGTTGCGTGTGTGTTTATGCGTGCGCACGCGTTTTTATGCACATTAATATGAAATTACCTATGCATTGCCGTGTGAACATCACTCACGGTGGACTTTTGACCTTTGACTGTACCTATCAATTTTTTTTAATAACTCAGTAATTCGAAGTAGTAGTTAGATGTTTAACATAAGTAATGTAAGTAAGGAAATTAATATAAGTTAGTGACAAATAATAGTTTTATGGGCCTACTTTTTAGTGGATATCCATGCAAAACAAAGTTCCAAAAGATGTTCAAATAAATATTAGTTAAAATTATTATCTTACCTAAACTTATTGAATATTTTCGACTTATTTAGGGTTTTTGAATCATATTTATATTTTGTTTTAATATATAAGGACCGTGCGAGACTTTGCCTCGCCATTTATTTTCTAATTACCCATATTCTGACAGTTTGAGTATTTGTGCGACTCACGCAAATGTTCTTTAGGTTGGTATTGTTCGTCGAATCAATCAGCCTCACCTGATTGTTAATTGAGCCGACTGTAAACCGACACATGCTACTGCCTTCAGAACGGGTCCGCTCAAACTGTTGTGGTTCTTTCCTCAAAAAGAACTAGCACGGTTTTAACACATAATCTTTTATACATAGGTATTTGTCTGGACTTTAAAAGAGACAGACCTCTGAGTTTGTTTCGGCATTTCTTCTCAGAGTAGTCAGTTTGGAAATGTCGGCCTCATCGCTTGATAAAATTGACTTGTGTAAAAGTGCTGCCCTGTAGCCTATTTGCAGAAATAAATTCACTATAATATTAAAAAATTATTTTAAAAAATAATGGTATTTTCCGCTAAAATTATCACAAAAAAATCTTAATTGGTTAAGTCTAGTCTCTTGGTTATTCACAAAAGAGTAGGTCTATATTCATCAAATGTACATTTAATAAGATAACAGCGGTTATATTCTAAAAACTTGACAAAAGCCAAAACGACTTATGCAAGAATAGTGTAAAATAGTTCTTAATTAGTTTGGTTATAAGGTTAACTTTTCTCTAAACGACCAAAGACAATTAGTGAAAATTTAGCATAGAATAGATTTAAAACGGAGTGCGAATTATTTACATGGAAACGTTACCGCGTTTAGGCTCCCTGATTGGTTGGGTAATTAGGAGTAGCCAATCAGAGCGCGTCATAAACAGGTCGATCGTGTTATCATAAAAAAAATTCGCACTAGGCGTTCTAATCTAATTTTAAATTAAGTAATGGGTTTGCTTGGTATTTCTGGTGACTATATTATGTACCTCTATTATAATTATTGGTATTGAGAGAAAGTAATAAATAAATAAAAGTACAAATATTGGATCTTGTATCGACTAGAAAATGGTCGATTTTCTGTATTTTGTTAAAAACACCAAGAACTTTCTCAGTCAATTTATTTTAATTAAAAATGTTGACTCCAACCAGGACCTATTAAAATGGTAAAGCAATTTAACTATTTAATAATCAAATTGAATTTACTGAAACGAAAATTTTATAATTGATAAATATTATTTATTTATTTATTTATTTATTTATTTATGGATTGGAAAACCAACAGCTACACATAGCAAACAAACAGATAACATAATAACAACAGAAAGCCAATTACAGGTTTTCACGAATAGATTTCACATTATTCAATTAAAACAAAACACTCACAGTCCAAACAAATACTTCGTTTAGGGAAAGAAAATAAAAAAAAAACAACAAGAGCATATACCAACAATAAAAAACATAAAAAAAATAAACACACACCAACCATACTACCAACAATAACAAATTAATATTAAACCAAGTTACCCACTTAATTTTATATCAAATTAAAAAACTGTAGGGTGAGCATCCTTCGCACCGTAGAAGTCCGCGTTACAAACGGATCTATTGGATACTCCTTACACAGGTTGTTTAAGTCTCTGCTTGCACGCATAATAAAGGAATTCTGCCTATACCTCGTTGAGGAATTCCGAATTAAAAGTTTGAAAATACATTAACATACAAATATATTGCAATTGGCATAGGTGTTCTATTTTACATTTTATTCAAAATTCAAATTTAAACATTACATGCAGACATATATATATTAGAAATATCATACAAACCCGATCTTATGCATAATTTTATCTCATATATAAACTTTTAGGTTATGTCTTAAAAATATTTAAGTATTTCATATAATTGTACATTATATTGGAAGCAAATGATGTAAGGGTACAATAAAGTGTCTAGCGGCTCAGTTTCTTACTCGAAATACGAGAAAGAACAAAGCTTTAAATATAGAACTTCATTCTTTTGCCAATTAATCGCTTGCTTGTAGATATTTTTAGCAGAATACCAATTTGTCAATTTTTTTTGAGAAACAAAAAAGTAAATTTAAATATAGTTATAATGTTAAGTAGATATAAGGAAAAAGAAAAATAAAATAAATCAAGAAATTGGCATAATCGAATTGTTTAGATATTTTTGTCCATGACTGTACCAGGTACCTACCATGTGCGTATATTTTGCAGACGTAAAAATAAATAATAATCAAAAAGTTCTTTAAGCATCCAAGCATTACCCTAGCAATATCGTCGCGGAGAACCTAACGGGTTACCGGGGCTCCGGCTCGACGTGCAGGAGAAGGAACGGGGTGGTTTTTAGTCAGTAAGAGTCTGACACTCCCTCCCACCTCGCCTAGACGGGAGCAGTCATTTGACGATTTTCCCCCCTTAACCCATAGATCCCCACCCTAACAATATTAGACGTAAAAATTTTTTTACTAAATCATTTCTTTTTGCTCTTATTATTTGCAATATTCTCGCTTATAAGAATAATGTAATTTACTTAAGGAAATAAACAAAAGAGTTTAAATCTCGAGTAGAATGTAAGATAGATTAGTTCGTAAGTTCATACGAATAAGATAGACTTTTCCCTGTTTGGATACTGGAAAATAACCTTTATGTCAATTACACTGTAGTTGCTTTGCGTGTTTACACGCCTTTTATCGTTTCTATTGCCTTATTAACTTAAAATAACTTAGTAGATAAGTAAGTACTAGATAAGTAAGTTCGATAAGTAAGGGTTTATGAAGTCAATGTTTTTTTTTGTATTTATTACTTGTTTATTATATT